TATTATTTATTTGCAGAGTTTTAAATTTTTGGTGAAATTCCGTTCGCTGCACAAGAGAAGGACAGAGATCCATAGAAAAGAGTAGCTTCAAGTTCCCCAATTAGTCCACCCCTTTCGCATGAACTGGCACTTCAGGGCTCAATAACCTGTGAGACATTTGTAGGAGAAAGAATGAAAAAGGTTTCTTTACTTACGGTTGTGAACAGACCAACAGCAAACTTAGGAACAGACTGAAAGAGCTTAGACATGTCCCTACCTTATAGGGGTGTTGCTAGAATATAGCAGCAAGGATGAGGGTAAAGTATGCTCCCTCGGAGAAAAGGTGAAATGCAAAATGTGACATATAAATAATAGCCAGCTGGAGAGCAAAGTCATTTAGGTGTCTGATTGCTGGGCCAGAGGCTGGGAGTTCGAATTCCCTCTGTGGAAAAGAGCCAGCCTGGGTAGCCTTGGGCAAGCTGCAAAGTCCCAGAGCTCCCCCTAGAGGAAAGGAAGGGTAAAGCACTTCTGTGTATTTCTTAGCTGGAAAACCTTGTAAAGGGTCACCATAAGTCAGAATTGACTTCACAGCACCTGGTGATGATGATGAATCATCAGCTGGCCATCTTTCTTCAGTAAACATGGCCGTCGGTCTTCACCATGAAAGACAGGCGGCCTCTCCAGGCTCTGGAGAAACAACGGTTTGTGGGGTGAGTGAGAGAGGGTCATATCATCATGGTGCTGCCGTTCATGACCTCCCGGGCGATGGGGGTCAGGATCCGCAGGCTGTCCGTGGGAGCTTACAAAATAATCGCTGCCAATTAGTTACAAAAATACAATTTGGGGATTAAAGGCTGCAAACCAGATAAGGGCAGCCGGCTGGATAAATATGATTTCTGAACACCTCATTATCCCCGTTTGCTGGCAGATGTATTCCCCATGGGCACTGGTGGATTACACAGCATCTCGTAGTCGAGAAGAGAAGCCGCCTGGCGTGCATCTGTCTTGCTCGCTTGGGCTCCCATTCTGATCGCTTTGCGGTTGTCACGATTTGTGGGGGGGCTGTGCGACGGGGTTGCGTGTCCATTTCTTGGCATCTGGGCACAGCACTCTTCGCTGCAACTTTTTGCTGCGTCCTTTAGCTGTTGTTTCTTCTTTCTCTTTTCTGTCCTTTTTTTCCCTCTCTCTCTTTCTCTCTACAAAATTA